TCCCCTCGTCTGAACCACCGTCCCTGCCCTCACCGCCACCACCCTCCCCACTGCCACCCCCCTTCCCCCCACCACGCCCCCCTTTATGGCGGCGACCCTTACCCAGACGCTTCTGCACTGAGGCCGCAGCAGCGGTCTCAGCAACAGCAGCAAAGATGTCAGAGTAAGTGCACTGGGAGGGAGCACAGCCCTGAAAGATAGGTACGGTCATAGTATTGCTAGACTAAGCGATACTGCGTTGGCGGGTCTCTATCTCAGACAGGGCAGTGACGAAGGCAGTGAGAGAGAGGTCACCTGGGTGCTGACTAAGGAAGTGGTCGCGGGCTGTGGCTAGGCTGTCAGGGAGGCGCGTGGCGGATAGATAAAGGGTAGCGCAGAACGGCGGCGGGAAGGCAGTGAGCTGTGCCGCTGTGCTAGAAGCGTGGTAGCTTGTCTCAAGCGCGCGGAGGTGCGTGGCAAAGTCGGCAACAGTGGGGAAGGACGCAAGATCAGGGAACAGCATGGGAAGGATCAGGCGACCAGTAAAGGCAGTGGAATAGCGCGCAATGATAGCATCTAAGAAGGCTTGGGCTTTCGCAACAGTGGTAAAGCGAGGATGCTCAGACAGCGGGAGTGCATGGTTGATAGCAAGCTGGGCGACAGCGTCGTGCGAGTCCCAGACGGCACAGTCAAGCGCAACAGTGGAAAATGCCTCATGCTCAGCAGTGATGGGGGCATCGGGGAGGGCAGTAGGGGCAGGGGGGCAGGGAAGCAGGCCATCGACATGAACAACTAGGGAGTGACCGTCCTGGCGCTGATCTGTACGGTCACGCCGAAGGTCGACCAGCCACCCCTCAAAGTTGAGTGCCCGACCCTCTACATCCAGACGGAGCTGTGACTCCGCCATCGCCGCTGCCGCAGCTGCTGACGGCCGCTGACAGATTGAGGAGGACAGGCGGAGGAAGCGGTGGAGATCGGTGGAGTATGGTGGGGAGCGGTGGAGTGCGGTGAAGAGCAGTGGAGTGCGGTGGAGTGCCGTGGAAAGTGGTGGACACAGCCGGCAAGGGAGCCGGCGCTGAAGGGAGCTAGAGCCGGTGGGTCAGCGCTGCGACTCGACGGCCCGGCGGCTGGCCGCTGAAGTGGGGGCCGGCTACGCTAGAGCCGACTGGCTGAGCGCAAGGGGCCGGCTAGGCTGGAGCCGGCTGGCGAGGGCCGACAGGGCGCACAAGGCCGACGGGGCGCTGACGAGGCCGGTAGGGCGCTAACAGGGCTGGCGGGGTGCTAACAGGCCGGGGGGGGGAGCAGGTCCAGAGGGGCGCACGGGACCGACGGGGCGCTAACGGGGCCGGGAGGGCGCTAACGGGGCGGGGCGCTAATGGGTTGGCGGGGCGAGCAGGGCCAGTGGAGCGCACGGGACCGACAAGGCGCTAACAGGGCCGGGAGGGCGCTAACAGCCCGGCGGGGCGCTAACAGGCCGGCGAGGCGAGCGGGGCCAGAGGGGCGCACGTGGCCGACAGGGCGCAAACGGGGCCAATGGGGCATACGGGGCCAACGGGCGCGAACGGGGCTGGCAGGGCACTAACAGGCCGGCGGGGCACTAAGGGGCCAGAGGGCGCTAACGGGGCCGGCAGGGCGCTAACGGGCCAGAGGGGGCGCACGGGGGCGATGGGGCACTAATGGGGTCGGAAGGGCGCTAACGGGCTGGTGGGGCGCACAGGGGCCGATGGGGCGCTAGGGGCCGGCTAGGAACGGGCGGCTAGGACTAGGACGAGAGCAAACGCGCGGGTGGGCGGGGAGGACCTAACCTAGCCCATGATACCATCTCAGAATAGAAAATTTGACTAGAATAAGGCATACATGTTGAATTTGTTCAAGTGGTTGTAACCTCTAAGAGCATGCACCTATCTAGCCTATTATAACATATACAAATATGTTTGACAGTGCAACGGCTGAGATTACATTTCGATTGACTGGGGGAAGCACTTTGCTTGCGCGCCGTCAGATGGAAATCCACCAAAAATGGATGGCAAAAAAACGCAAGGCACCTGGTGTCCTAAAATACCTTCCGTACTGAACTTGAAAAACACCCCCGAGTGACGCGAGTCCCGTTACCCCCATCTACACCCATGGAAACGCGACTTTCAAGCGCAGTGCGTTTGAAGGCCGCGCCTCGCAATTTGGGCCATGGGTTTTAACGTGCCATCATTGTTAGTCGTATTTATCCTTATTGCATCCTACACATGCTGCCCAAACCAGTTGCCCCGAAAAAACGTAGTGGCATCTGAACCCAACACGAAAACTGGTACTGTCGGGAGGGCCGACCGTTTTGGGTGATGGGGGCATGCCATACATCGCGCGCAAAAAGGTTCGACCGTTTTAAACCATTCTTCTTTTTTTGTTGATGTGCGCGATTTCATCCTTAAAATCCCACGGCAAAATAGCAGAGGGGCTATCAAGCTTGGACCCCTCTTGATCCCCATCCAACTGAAGGAAGGGGGTTGAGACAGACAGATTGATTTGTGGGCCGAGCAAGGGCAAAAAGTAATGGAATATCAAACTGATGTTACAAACTTTTCATTTTGCATGTGAGCTACGCCATGCGATGCGACCATGCGTATCGTCGCAAGAAAACTTACGGAGCCAATCACGAGGGGGTAGAAAAATGGGCGCGGGCCCGAAACATAAGCATGGTTGACTCACATCTTGGATTGGGGAAGCCAACGGTGTGGTGCCACATGCACGGCTGGGAAGAAAGAAACCAATCAGGGGTGAGTGGCAAAGTCCAGTAAGGTAATTGGGAGGGAACCAGGACGCGAACCCCTAGCGAATTCATGCTCCAACTGTCTGACTGCTAGTAATTTGAACAAGTACCTGTTTGGATATCGAACTCGGGTTTTTAGTTGTTAGGTTACTGTTACTAGGAATCTGTGCACTGTAAGGAAAATTCCTTTTCCTTACTGGGCTCAACTACAGCGCGTACGCCCTCGACCCTCGGAAGACCAGGCCCGGCCATTTTCCTCGGTCCCGAAACATTTCGTAAACCCAAACCTAATGCGCGGCGCCTCCGTGGCTTTCGCCAGCCGAATCGCCCTAACCTGTTTGCGAGGTTCTCGGCTAGCCCTGTTGTGCCTAGAAATGCCTAGGTCCTCATTTGTATTGACAACTCTTGAATCACGACTCTTTTATTATACTACCTGTTATTACTCTGATTAATTCATAACAGCTGGTATCAGAGCCCCGTTCCTGCCCGCTTAGTCTTCCGTAGAGTAGTCCGTTTATATCGGGAGAGGACCCGACAGAATAGAGGGTTGGCCAGCGGTTGGTAGGCGAGCTCGTTAAAGCTCCTCCAACTAAAAGCGTGTGCACCCTCAGATCTGTCAGGTAAAATTTCCAGCATGACTAGCACGCCAGAAACCTCTGCCCGTCGCAGTGTTAGGAACGTGACTTGGGAGGAGTTTGACGAGTTGCAAGCCAGGGCGGCTACAGTGACGACACTGCAGGCCCAGCTTCAACAACTCGCGGATAAATTCGAGTCGCTGGGAAGCGAAGTTCAGACGCTGCGCAACAAAAACTCGTCACTTCGCCAGACGCGGGGTGAAACGCGTCAGGTGCGGCCTGTTACCCGAGACGAGGATGCTGCGAGCGAAGCGAAGGCGTCGGCGACACCTGAAGCAGTTGAAGAAATCCAAAGCGAACCGCGGGCGGCCATTAAAATCAAGCCTCCTATGCCCCCACCGTTCAACCCGACAGACAGGACGACCACTGTGAGCGGGTGGCTGTTCGCCATGGAAATCTTCTTCACGGCAGCAAGTATTAATGACAACGCCTCACGTGTCAACTTGGCTGTGTCGCTGCTGAGGGGACGGGCACTCGACTGGTGGCACATGCATCTTGACGAGGGAGGAGCTCCGGCAGGGAATCAACGGGCGGCAGCTGGGGAGATGAGTTCATCAACGGCAGTGGCAGAACCAATCTTTGGTTCGACCACGATCCGCACGTGGAAAGCGTGGGGCGAAGCGTTGAAAAGCAGATTCGAGCACATATCCATGCGCGAAAATGCTCGCACAAAGCTTCGGATGTGGAGACAGTTGGACCCTGTCCAAGAATACACGGCGTCATTTCTGGCCATCTGCGACCAAATCGGAGGGATCAGCGAGGACGATAAAATCGATCGCTACGTGGGCGGACTCAAACCGGAGATTCAACAAGAAATCGTCCTGCGAGCCCCGACGACCTTCAACGAGATTGTTCGCATGGCGGATGCGCTGGACGCGCGACGTGGACTCGCGAGAGCGGGTTTCCGGGAGGGAAATCGCTTTCGAGGCCAGCCCCAACACACATCAATCAACGGCGTGGACGTGTTTGCAGCCCGAGTATTTTCGAGGACCTGCTTCCACTGCAACCAGCCGGGTCACATGGTGAGGGACTGCCCGCAGCTGAAGAAGAACTTACCTAACGACAAGAAGCAGTCGGGAAATGGAGATCGTCAGTAGCAGATGGGCCACCTATTGACTTGACTATGTCGCCCAAACGCCACCACCCCCACCAGGTTATAGTGCCGATTTGGGCTATCGACCATTCCTGGCTGAATAAGGGGGGTGAACCGGTTGATCACCCTGTGCTGGTTGATGGGAGAGTTGGTGATACCCGCATAAAAATATTTGTTGATGGCGGGGCAAGCCATAGTTTAATGGATGTGACGAAAGCGAAAAAATTGCGACTGCAACTGGAGCAGTGTCTGCCTAAAATCGACGCGCGATTGGTCGATGGCACACCCCTGGCAATTCGGGAGCGAGTACCTCACGTGCGAGTTACATGCGGCAAAAATTTCAGCTTTACGACGAAGATGCTGGCGACAACGTTGGACGGCTGCGGCATGCTGCTGGGACGCGATTGGCTGCGCGAGTACAACCCGAGCATCGATTGGCGGACGGGTGACTGTCGAATCAAATGGAGTGGCGAGTGGCGACGACTTCCGAAGTGGAACAATCCAGATTCTGCGACAGTCAGCGCGGTTACCATCAAGCGAGCGATGATTCGTGGGGCACAACTATACGCCATCAGATGGATCGCATCCACGGCTGTCAGCGCACCGGCCGACATCGACAAACTCTGCGCGGCAGTCCCCGACGACTTGGCGACATTGATCCGCAAGCATGCCGACATCTTTCCGGACGACCTACCGCCAGGATTGCCACCCGAGCGAGACCACGACCATAAAATCCAATTGGAGCCCGGCGCGCAACCGACGGTTCGGACACAGTGGAGGCTGACTCAGCCAGAGCTGGATGAACTTCGACGCCAGCTGGATTACCTGCTCGAGAAAGGTTTCGTTCGCCCCAGTACTTCACCGTTCGCAGCTCCGATACTGTTCACCCCGAAGAAAGATGGCGGTCTACGAATGTGCATTGACTACCGCGCCTTGAACCGGGTTACCATCAAGTCTTGCTATCCTATTCCGCGTGCCGACGAACTCATCGACCAACTTCGTGGGGCAAAGTTCTTTTCAAAAATTGACCTGCGAGGCGGTTACCACCAGATCCGTGTCAACGAAGCTTACTGCTACAAGACGGCGTTCCGAACCCGATACGGGAGTTACGAGTACACGGTCATGCCTTTTGGCTTAACCAACGCGCCTTCAACATTCCAGTTAACCTTGAACGAATTTTTTCGGCCGCTGCTGGATAAATGCGTCATTGTGTACCTCGACGACATCCTGATATACAGCACTACCCGGGAAGCACATTTGAAGGATTTGGAAGCAGTCTTCTCTCTCCTGCAGCAGCATCGACTCATCACCAAGGGTTCTAAGTGCGAGTTTCTGAAACAAGAACAGGAGTTTTTGGGACACGTTATTTCCATCGACAGTGTTAAAATCGACCCGAAAAAAATCGCGACCATACAAGACTGGAAGCCGCCGGCTAATCTCCGCGAACTTCAAAGTTTCATGGGGTTTGTGAATTACATTCGCCGGTTCATCCCGAACATGGCGGGGGTAATTTCCCCTCTCACGGATCTTCTGAAGAAAGGCACGTTTTATGAGTGGGGGGGAGAGCAGCAGGCTGCGTTCGACCAACTCAAACTTTTCCTGACAACACCTCCGGTTCTTCGCATTGCAGATCCTCACCGTCCGTTCGAACTCATCACCGATGCTAGCGACCTGGCTGTTGGCGCAGTACTGTTACAGGACTTCGGCGAAGGACTCCAACCCATCGCCTACGAGTCACGAAAGTTGAATCCGGCCGAGCGAAATTATCCCGTCCACGACAAGGAGTTACTCGCCATCGTTCACGCGTTCAAGGTTTGGCGCTGCTACCTGACGGGCGCTGATGTGACAGTCCGAACAGACCACAAATCGCTACAGTTCATCCGCGCCCAACCGACACTCAACCCCCGACAGATTTGCTGGCTCGATTATCTCGAGTCGAATTTCCACTACAGAGTCACCTACAAACGAGGGGCCAGCAACATCGCCGACGCACTGACCCACCCTTCAGTCCGTACCGCCGCTGTCCTAATCACCCAAACCAATTCGCTGCTAACTGGACTATTTACCCACGGATACAGTACCGACCCATTCTTCACGACTAACAGTCATCCCCAACTGACAGTTAAGCAGGGGGCTTATTACCTAAAATCCGGTACCAATCGGATTTGGGTTCCCGCTTACCGTACCCTACGCGAGCTACTGATACAGGAGGCACACGACTCGAATTTCTCGGGTCACTACGGCATCGACAAAACTGCCAAACTACTGAGCTGTAATTATTACTGGCCCGATTTGCCGACGGACGTACAGCAGTACGTCACCTCCTGCGCCACGTGTCAACGCATGAAGTCGTCACGACTTCGACCTGCGGGATTACTGCAGCCGCTCGAGCCACCCAGCCGACCCTGGCAACAAGTGACGATGGATTTCGTCACTGGCCTGCCAGCTGGCCCAAGCGGTAATGACGGGATTCTCGTCGTCGTTGACCGTTTGACCAAAATGGCACACTTCGCCGCCTGCAAGACGACAATCACTGCCGAGCGGACAGCGAAGCTATTTCTCACGAACATCGTGCGGCTACACGGCATCCCTTCGGCAATCATCAGCAATCGCGACCCTCGGTTCACGTCCAATTTCTGGACAAAAACCTGGCAGCAGTACGGCACACGTTTGCATCTGTCCACGGCATACCACCCGCAATCGGCGGCCAGAGTGAGCGCACCAATCAGACGATGGAGCAGCTGATTCGTACAACGTGCACAGACCCGGCCCAGTGGGAAGATTCAACAACGATCGAGTTCCACTGATCGAGTTTGCGTACAACAACGCCCCATGAGCCACGACTACTCAGTCCCCGTTCTTCCTTAATCACGGGATAGACCCGACAACCCCTCTATCGCCACCGATCGAAAATCCGGCACCTAGATCGCAGTAGTTCGTCGAAAACCTCCGACACTCTCAGCAAAAAGCCGCCGATGCCATCCTCAAAGCCAACCAACGGGCTAAGCAACAAGCTGACCGACGACGCCGTGACTTAAACCTTGCCCCTGGGCAATTGGTCCTGCTCGACACTCGAAATTTGGGAATTCCCCTCCCAAATAAACTACGACCAAGATTTTGCGGCCCATTCCGCATAATCCGCATGGTGACTCCCGTCACCGCCCAGCTGCAACTACCGGTCGACTGGCTCATTCACGATTCATTCCACGTCAGTCTCCTGCGACCGTTCGTCCCGAATACAACTGATCTCGACCGTCAACATATCAATCCTACGGTCAACCCAGTACCCGAGCCGACAATCGAGCCATCGAAAATTCTCGCTCATCGCGTACGAGGTTCTCGCGATATAGCCGCCGTTGATTTCCTTGTACGATGGGTCGATCGCACGATTGATTACGACCTCTGGGTCCCCGCAGCTATGCTCGGTGAACACAAAGTTGTCAGGGACTATTTACACCGACGACGTGTCCCGGATGTGGGTAGTCTCATCTCGGAAGGGGGGGTGGTGTTAGGTAAATTCCCTTTCCTTACTGGGCTCAACTACAGCGCGTACGCCCTCGACCCTCGGAAGACCAGGCCCGGCCATTTTCCTCGGTCCCGAACCATTTCGTAAACCCAAACCTAATGCGCGGCACCTCCGTGGATTTCGCCAGCCGAATCGCCCTAACCTGTTTGCGAGGTTCTCGACTAGCCCTGTTGTGCCTATAAATGCCTAGGTCCTCATTTGTATTTGACAACTCTTGAATCACGACTCTTTTATTACACTACCAGTTATTACTCTGATTAATTCATAACATGCACTGTAGTCACGGTTAGCGCACCCAGAGGAGAGTTTTGTCCCGTTCTGAGCTCTGAAGGGCAGTTTAGCATTCATTCTAGTTATTGTGTTTTTTATTGGAGCATTTGGCACAATTTTATTGGGTAAAAACTATACATATCGGGATGCAAATTTGCCCACGATCGTCCTTGTATTTTCTACCCAACTCGGATGGCCAAGTGGGAGTTCCAGATTTCCATTGATTTCAGACTCACTGTTGCCGATTTTCCAGTCAGCATATAGTACAGTATTTGCGCGTCACTGCACAAACCTGAAAGCAGGGTTGCCGACAACTGTCAAACACTGATGGTAAATTCTGATAAAAATTGAGATAAAGACAAAAGAGTATGATTGTACGATTGAATAGGACAAGAGTGCAATAGTAGAACTGTAGCACATATAAATGGAATTATTATGTGCTTGTGAAGAATTAGTGGAAAGGTACTCAAGTGAGTAAAAGGGGACTTGTGGAGAGAAAGATGCTTATAAAGAAGAGTGTGAGACTTACTTATGTGTGTCTTACAAGGTAGAGAAGCTGTAGAATCTTGGGAGCGGTTCTTGATAGAGGAAGTCTTGCACTTGGGAAAGGGTCTTGAGCTTGGAAGGACACCACAAGCTTGAGAGGGGACCACAATCTTGGATGTGGTTGAAGGAGATGGTCTTGTACTTGACGAGTGAAGATACCACAAGGTTGAGTGTTGAAGAAGTAAGTCTTCCTACAAGCTTGTGGCTTGGTGATGCATCTTATACTCGAGTTGGGTATAAGATGGACTAATGCTTGATTACTTTGCTAATCTATGAACTTTGTGGGAGAACTTTGAGAGCATAAACTTATATGAAATAGGGTATAGTACAAGCCTTATAATCCATGGTGGATACAAGGACATGCATGAGAAAGAGACCACTCGTGATAGTCTAGGAAGAAAGGTAGCATGGTAATACCATCTCTAGAGACGTAGAACATGAATGCTAACAAGGAGCCTTTGTAGTGGTGTGAGCTTGAGGAGCTTGAAGAAGACTTGAAGGGGAGCTTGGAGGAGAGGAGCTTGGAGATGCCTTGTTGTACTTTGAGAAACTTCTTGAGAAATTGGAGAGGATTCTTGGTGAAGATGAATAGTAGTGGAGCATGTGATAGTTGTTGAGCCTTTGGTGACTTGGAATTGTAGACCATGTGGTGTTGGAGAGAAACTTGGATGAGTTGGAAAGGAAGGAGAGGAGGAGGAATGAAAGCTTTGTTGAGTTGGAAGGTGAGAAAAGTAAGGAATCATGAGAGTCTTGTGTGATGATATGGCAACTTGGATGACTTGGGATAGGAAGGAAGGAAGGAATAAATAAGAGGCATGTGGAGGTTGATGAGTAGGGAAGGGAGGAATGTGCTTGAGGCACATGTGAGGAGGATTATTGGTTGGAGTAGATGACTTGGCGAAATTCTTGATGAGTAGGAAGAGAGAGCACATGGAAAATGATGAAGAGTCATGTGCCTTGAGGTAGGAGTTGGAGATGAATAGGAGGATTTGTTGGAAGCTTGGTTGAGGTGGACTAGGAATGATTATGAGAGTTGGGGAAAATTAATGAGTAGTTGGGAGGCCTTAGGTTGGAGGAGATGAGCTGGAAAAGTTGGGTTGGAAATTTGGTAGGTAGAGTAGGTTTGGTTGGTGGGAATTGGGTTGGAAATTTGGTAGGTAGAGTAGGTTTGGTCGGTGGGAAATGGGTTGGGGTAGGTAAAGAATTGTAACGAGCGGTTTTGGAGGGGGAGGGGTTGGAGTGGCGAGAGAAATGTGGCACGCGCATCACGTGCCACTATACATATCGGGATGCAAATTTGCCCACGCTCGTCCTTGTATTTTCTACCCAACTCGGATGGCCAAGTGGGAGTTCCAGATTTCCATTGATTTCAGAATCACTGTTGCCGATTTTCCAGTCAGCATACAGTACAGTATCTGCGCGTCACTGCACGAACCTGAAAGCAGGGTTGCCGACAACCGTCAAACACTGATGGTAAATTCTTCCCCGGCCAGCTTCACTCTTCCTGCTTCATGCGTCGCATTCCCGCTACTTCCCGCTGTTTCTTGCTTCCCGCCTCCTGCTCCCCGCTTCCTGCCTCTCTGGAGCCGCTGTTTCCTGCTTCACGCTTCCTGCGTCCTGCAGCTCGCGGCCAGCTGCTTCCTAAGTTCCAGGCGACTCACAGCCGGACCAACAGAGCGCCCCTTGCCTGAGCTGCAGTGCCTAGATAACAGCGTAGGGAACGATGGCGTAGTGTGATGATCGCTCCCTCCCTACCTCCCTCCCTCCATCCCTCGCTCCGTCCCTCCCTCCGTCCCTCCCTTCGTCCCTCCCTCCGTGGACTCCTCGTTCCACCGGCATCCCGCTTCCCCCCTGCACGTCGCGTTCCCCCTGATGCTTGCTTCCTCCTGCTGCCTATTTCCTCCTGCTGCCCGCTTCCACCTGCTGCCCGCTTCCCCCTGCTGCACGCTTCCCCTTGCCTCCCACTTTGCTTTGCTTCCCCACTTTGCTCTGCTTCCCCACTTTGCCCTTCAATCCGTGCTATCCCCTCTATCCCTGTTATCACACCTATCCCTCCCAACCCTTCTAGCCAATCTATCTCGCCTGTCCCTTCTTACGCTCTCAGCACTATCCCTCCGTTCCCTCCTTTACCTGCTAACCTCCCTATACCTCCTTTCCCTCCAATCCATGCTGTGTGTCCTATTGCTGCTATAACTCCAATCCCATCTAACCCTTGTTCCATACATACACCTCCCTCCCTCCCTCCCTCCCTCCCTCCCTCCCTCCCTCCCTCCCTCCCTCCCTCCCTCCCTCCCTCCCTCCCTCCCTCCCTCCCTCCCTCCCTCCCTCCCTCCCTCCCTCCCTCCCTCCCTCCCTCCCTCCCTCCCTACCTCCTTCCTTCCAGCCCTCTCGCGTTCTCTCTCCATCAATCTCTCACCCCATCCAGACGTCACTCGCTCTTTGCTATTACTCTGAACCACCCCTCCCTATCCCATCTGTGTTGTTCGGCGCTTTGTGCTCCCACTATCCCTTTCCACAAGAGTTGGGGATGGTGGCCCTGTCTTCGAGTGCCAACAACGGAATCCTTGGCCTGGACATAGTGTGTCATAGTGCACGGACCATGAAATTTATTCTGCAGGCAATTTGGATTTGTGTCATACGTTCTTTTACTTGTAATTTATTCTGCAGGCTATTTGCACAAAAGGCATAATAACATTACTGTGAAGAGTACCACTACTGATTATGGCAAAACAGAGTGTTTTAGAGCCATGGGCATGCATGAGTGGGGGCGCCACATGGAGATGCCTTGCACCGACCCTCGGTACCGTACACCCTTCCACCACGTAGTACAACACTGCTGGAATTTGAGTGAGAGAATTGGGAGGAGAGAGGGTCAGAGTGATGGGCATCGAGGGAAAGAGAGTGAGAGGGATGGGCATGGGAGTGAGTGTGAGTGATGGGTAGAGAGAGAGAGAGAGAGAGAGAGAGAGAGAGAGAGAGAGAGAGAGAGAGAGTGTGTGTGTGTGTGTGTATGTGTGTGTGTGTGTGTGAGAGAGAGAGAGAGAGAGAGAGAGAGAGAGAGAGAGAGAGAGAGAGGGAGAGAGAGAGAGAGGTGGGGGGAGGGGTGGTCAGAGAGGGGGCCCTAGCCAGCCCCTAGCACCCTAGTCGGCCCCTCGCACCCTAGCTGGCCCCTCGCGCCCAGCCACCCCCTCGTACCTAGCCAGCCCTTCGAGCTTAGCCGGACCCTACCGCCTGTCCGGCCCCTCGTACGCCTCGGCCCCCCTTGCGCGCCCTCTGGCTCCTCGCGCGCCTGGTCTCTGTTCCGGAGAGTCCTGCCACCACGTCGCAGTATCACTGTGCAGCAGAGTACCTGTGTCCCTGTGCCATTGTGCCGCTGTGTCCCTGTGCCGCTTTGTCCTGGTGCCACTGCGGTTTCACAATGGCGGATGCCATGCTACGTCTGGACGCGGAGAGGAACGCGATCGACTTTCGCCGTCTGGCTTGCCGATCTTCGCCAGCATCTGACAGGTCAACGTAAGGATGGGCACTCCATGGCTATGCATGTTGATGGCTTGCTTCCCCGCCCCTCCGCGCCTGATCCCCTCCCTGCTGACCCCCCCACTGCTGAGAGTGAGGCCTTTGCTGTTGCGGTGCAAGCTCGCGCTGTCTGGGATTCTCGCGATGCTATAGCGCAGCTTGCCATTAGTCATGCGCTTCCCCTTTCTGAGCGCCCGCGTTTCACAGCTGTCGTGAACACCAAAGACTTCTTAGACGCAGTAGGTGCATGCTACTCCACGCCTGCCTCCGCCTCAGCTGGACACTTGATCCTCCCCATGCTCTTCCTGATCTCTCTGCTTTCCCCACTGTCTCTGATCTCGCCACTCACCTCCATGCACTAGAGACTAGCTATCGTGCTACTAGCACAACTGCCCAGCTCACTGCCTTCCCCCCGCCGTTTCGCTCTACCCCGTACCTTATTGCCATGCGCCTGCCTGACCACTAAGCCATTGCCCGCGACCAGTTCCTTAGCCAGCACCCTGGTGACCTCACCCTGACCGCTTTATTCGCTGCCCTTGCTGAGATAGAGACTCGCCAGCACACTATCGCTAAGTCGAGCGGTGTTGCGGAAGTCCCTATCTTTCAGGGCTGTGCTCCCTCCAGGTGCACGTACGCTGACATTTGCGCTGCAATCGCTACTGCTGCTCCTGCCGCTGAGACCACATCGGCGGCCTTCCCGCAGCAGCAGCGACAGCGTCGGGGCCGTCGCGGCCCCAAGGGAGGGCGTGGTGGTGGTGGCGGCAACAGTGGTTCTGACGAGGGGGCTGGGGCAGGCGTCCAAGAGCAGCAGCAGCCGCAGCAGCCGTGGGCCCGCCTCCCGCCGGGTTGGCCGGGAGCACCTGGAGGTGGTGGCCGAGGTGACGCTCCTCGCAGCTCGTCATCTACCGGCGGCTTCGGTGGTGTGGGCTGCCAGTACCAGCTCCACACCGGGCTCCTTCGTGGCACTGTGTGCCGCAATCCGCACCCGACCGCCCACTGCTTCCGCCGCCTTGACGACCTCTTTCGTCGCCGCTTCAGCCCGGCCCCGGACCTCCCTGACTGGCCCAGTCTGCTGCGCCACGGTGTGCCTGTTTTTGATTTAGACATGCATCAGACTAGTTCTGCCTTGCATTCTCTGTATGCTAACGCTTCTAGTGTGTCCGGATCTTATTAAGCTGTGTTCTCTAGCTGAGGCGTAGCACCTGTGTGTAGTACAGAGACCCCTGTTGTGTCAGGTGTAGGACCGTTTGCTTTGTCTAGCCTACACTCCACACTCGCTCCTCCTTCGTCTCCCGCTACTACTTCGCTGTCCTTCACACTTGACTCCGGTGCGTTTGCCTGCTTCTTTCGCGACCACGTTGCGCTTACGCCGCTTGCCGCGCCTGCCGCTGTCGCACTTGCTAAATCCTCCTCTGGTCCTGTAGTTGCTCGCAGCTACACTACCCTTCCCTGCCCAGCGGTCCCCTCGGGTTCCCTTATAGGCCTGCACATCCCCTCGTTCTCCCAGAACTTAGTCGGTGTCGGCTGGCTTCGAGACCTCGGCGTCACCACTACGTTCCCGGGTGACGAGTGGTACGCCATCTGTACTGAGGCCGCCTCAGGTTCCCCCCTTGCAATGTTCTCCCGGGACCCGGTGTCTGGCCTCTTTACGCTGGACACTGCTTCCCCCCCATGTGGGGCATCCTCCCCGGGTCTTGCGTCTACCCATTGCTGCGTGCTCGTGTCAGTCGCTCACTCACCCGTCGCTTCTGTGGCACCACCGCCTAGGTCACCCTGTGCTCCAACGTCTACGTCACATGTCCCAGGACGGTCTCATTGCTTCCTGCCCTCCCTCCCTCGCCTGCGCCGCCGTGCACGCCCCGCGTCGAGGGCTGGCTCCGCTGTGCTCCTCACTCCTCTTCGCTTCGTCCTGCCACCGCACCCCTCCAAACCCTGCACCTCGACGTCTGGGGCCCAGCCCCCGTCACTGGACCGCGTCGCGAGCACTACTTTCTAGTGCTCGTAGACGACTACACGTGCTACACCACGGTGTTTCCCTTGGACAAGAAGGCCGACGTGCCCGACGTTCTTATCCCATGGGTAGTAGCTGCGCGCCTCAACCACGATCTCCCTGTGCTGTGTCTCCACTTCGACCATGGCGGCGGATTCGCCTCTAGTTGGCTTGGACAGTTCTGTCGTCCGGAGGGCATCACCCAGTCGTACACCCTACCAGACTCCCCGCAGCAGAATGGTGTTGCTGAGCGATGCATCGGCTTGGTCATGGAAGTGGCTCGTACCTCCATGATTCATGATGGTGCAACCCATTTTTCTCTGGCCGTGCTCCCAGCGGCCGCATGTTTCGCCGACCCTTCTTAGGACCAGGTTCCCTGGTGACACGTCCGCGTTCCACGGGGCTGCCTCGCTCACGTTCGTGCCTCTGGCACGAACAAGCTCACTGGCACTTTTACCACCCGCCGTCTCACCGCTTCTTTAACTCCCGTGATGCCACTTTTGACGAGTCTGTCTCCTTTTACCACCGCATTCCCCACCGAGGTCTCCCGGTTTCCCCTCCCTTGTTTCTGGTCCCCACTCCCCCGGTAGCCCCTGCTCACCTTCCTCCCCGTCTTGCTCCGTCTGGTGTGTCTCACGTCGCTCCCCTCCCGTCGGTTGTCCCGGTTGAGGAGTCGGCTGACTCTGGCGGCCCCATGACACAGTTCTTGCCGCCTGTTTCTCCCCCGGTGTCTCATCCTCCGCCGTCGCAGTCGCCACCGCCGCAGCCGACGCCGCAGCAGTCACCGCCGTCGCAGTAGCAGCAGCCATTTGTGGCCTCTGGGGGTGCCTGCGTTGAGGAGGGTGCTACTCCTATGGTTCCTGTCATAGCTTGTCCTGGCGGGCTTGGGGGTGGCACCGGTGTTGGAGAGGGTTCTCGCTCTCAGGGTGCTTGCTCTGGGGGTGCTGGAGTGGAGTGTTTTGGAGGTAGCCGTGGTGGAGCTGGCGGTCCAGGTGTCGGCGTCAAGCAGCAGCAGCACCAGTCGCTGCCGGTGTCCGCCCTTCGCCTACTCGGCCTTCCCTCACCTGATCCCTCGCCTGCGCCTCCCCCGCCGCCTCCTCCCCTTCCTGTCCACAGTCCTCTGTTTTACTCCTCCTCTGTCTCCTGACCCGATGCCTTCGTCTCACGTCTGGTCTCGCCGTCCCTCTCGTGCTCGTCCTGTCTCCCCTGTTCAGCGTTCTCACCCTATGTTGCTTCGTTCCCACGCGTCTCGTCCTCCCCTCCTGCCTTCGCCTCCTCCGTCGTCGCTCGCTGTCGCATCTCCCCCTCTATCTGACTACCTTCGTGCTACTCGTCCTCTTGTTCCTCGGGTCCTTGCCTCCCTTGTTACTAACCCGTCTGTTCCTCTCTCGAGTCTTGACGCTCTTGTTGTTGCTATCGCTGACTTCGCCTCTACCCCCCGCCTTGACTACGCCACCGCTCTGGTCTCTGACCCTTTCCGTCCTCCGTCCGTCGGGGGTGCTCCTGCTCTTGGCAGTGACGTCCTAGAGGACAGGCAGTACGAGCTTGCTTTCCTGTCCGAGGCTGCTCCCCATCTCTGCTCCATGCTGCTAGTCCCTGAGGGTGACCTAGATGCCTTTGACATCCCGACCCCTCGCACTTACGCTGAGGCGACCTCGGGACCCTAGGCCTCTCACTGGATAACTGCCATGGAGCAGGAGATGGCATCTTGGAGATCCACCGGCACCTATGTCAACACAGTTCCCCCACATGGGGTGAACGTAGTCGATGGCGGGTGGCTCTTCAAGGTGAAGCGCCCTCCTGGAGAGCCGCCTCTGTTCAAGGCGCGCTACGTGGCTCGAGGCTTCAGTCAGGGAGAGGGGGTGGACTTCTTTCAGACCTTCGCCCCGACCCCGAAGATGACTACTCTTCGGTCGCTGCTATATGTAGCAGCACAACTTGAATACGAGCTCCACTCTCTCGATTTCTCCACTGTTTTTCTTCAGGGCAGCCTATACAAGCAGGTCTACCTGCGCTGTCCACAGGGCTTCACCGGTACCTTCCCACGTGGTACCTAGTGGCTCCTCCGGCGCTCGGTCTACCGCCTGCAACATGCACCCCGTGAGTGGCACGACACGCTGTTTGCTACGCTAGCTGACCTGCTCTTCTTTCCGTCCTCTGCAGACCCCTCGCTCTTCGTTCGTTCTGGCCAGACTCCATTCTACAGCCTTGTCTACATAGACGACCTGGTCTTCGCTACCCAGACAGAGATGCACTGGCCTCCATGAAGGCCGAGCTGCTGAGGAGGCACACCTACACTGACCTAGGAGAGCTGAGCTGCTACCTTGGCCTACAGATCTCCAGGGACAGAGCAGCGTGCACCATCACTCTCTCACAGTCACTCTTGGTGCGCTTAATCCTTCAGAGGATCGGCCTTCAGTTTTCTTCCGCACAGCCCACCCGTGTGCCAGTAGTCCATTGGCTCGCAGCTCCTATTCCAGAGCTGGTGGGTTGCCTCATATACCTGATGACTTGCACTCGTCCAGATCTCGCATACCCTCTCAGCATCCTGGCTCGCTTTGTGGCCACCGGCACACACCGACCACAGCACTGGTCGGCTGCTAAGAGGGTTTTGCGTTTTCTAGCGAGTACATCAGGCATGGGGCTAGTGCTAGGAGGACGCAGGCCAGTGGTCCTTACTGGGCACACAGACACTTCTTGGGCAGACGACGCTGAGACCCTCAGGTCCTCCCAAGGCTACTGCTTTAGCCTTGGTTCGGGTGCCATCTCGTGGAGGCCCACTTGCTCCTTGTCTGTTGCCCAGTCTAGCTGTGAGGCTGAGATCTACGCCAGTGCCATGGCGGCACAGGAGTTCCGCTGGCTAACGCTCTTGCTTACAGAATTAGGTGAGCGGCCTAGCTCTGCCCCGGTCTTGTATGCTGACAACAAGGCCATGATCCTCCTGTATCAGGAGCCTCGACTTGAGGGCAGAGTGAAGCACATTCAGCTGCAGTACTTCCTCCTGCGTGAGCTACAGCAGCGCCGCCAGGCCCGCGTAGTACACTTGGCCTCTAGTGCCAACACAGCTGATATTTTTACTAAGGTGCTTGCGCCTAAAGATCATCAGCGGCACTGCTTATAGCTTGGTCTGGTTCCTGTGGACACTCACTTGCTAGGACCTTCAATGTGTACTCCTCTTTATATATATATTTCAGATTGGCCTTGTTGCTCCTCTTCCAGTGGCCGGACTAGTAGTGCCGCCCTTAACAGTGTGCTTCTTGTTCAGCACTACCCCTTATCTAGCCTAGGGGGTGTGTCAACTTATACATATATTCTGCATGTAGAAGTTATAGGCTAGAATGGGTGTATGTTCTTAGAGAGTACAGCCCAAGCCTATATCTTTCTTGTTCTCTCTTATTTCTAGTCATTCTAGTATTCTAACAGTGATAACATGAGAGAGAAATAGTGGATGGGCAGCAGGGCACGAGATAGCGTGTGAGGTATGGGCAGAGAGCGAGATAGAGTGGGAGAGTGAGAGAGAGAGAGAGGGAGGGGGGGAGAGAGAGAGAGAGAGAGAGAGAGAGAGAGAGAGAGAGAGAGAGAGAGAGAGAGAGAGAGAGAGAGAGGGAGAGAGAGAGTGTGTGTGTGTGAGAGAGAGAGAGAGAGAGAGAGAGAGAGAGAGAGAGAGAGAGAGAGAGAGAGAGAGAGAGAGAGCGTGTGGGTGTGTGTGTGTGTGTGAGAGAGAGAGAGAGAGAGAGAGAGAGAGAGAGAGAGAGAGAGAGAGCGAGAGAGAGAGAAAGAGGGAGAGAGAGGGAGAGAGAGGGAGAGGGAGAGAGAGAGAGAGAGAGAGAGAGAGAGAGAGAGAGAGAGAGAGAGAGAGAGAGAGAGAGAGAGCGAGAGAGAGAGAGAGAGGGAGAGAGAGGGAGAGGGAGAGAGAGAGAGAGAGAGAGAGAGAGAGAGAGAGAGAGAGAGAGAGAGAGTGAGAGAGAGGGGGGGGGATGAGCTGAAACTTTCGAATGGACGTCGACGGATGATTGAGGGAGTTCATGAGTTGGGCATGGGGGGGGGGGGGGGGGGGTGTGATAGAGCAAGAGAGCGAGAGAGAGAGTGTGGGGGGAAGCGGGGAGTGGGAGGCAGCGAAACGATGGAAGCATGACCCAGCTAAACGTGGGAAGCGGGAGGCGGGTGGCGCGAAGCGGGAAAGTGGGAAGCGGGGAGCGGGAAGCAGGAGGCAGCAAAACGCGGGAAGCGGGAGGCGGGAAGCTGGAAGCGTGGAGTGGGAAGCGGGAGGCAACGAGACGCGGGAAGCAAGATGCGGGAGGCGGGGAGCGGGGAAGGGGAAGTGGGTAGTAGGAAGCGGGAAGCGGGAAGCCCGAGGCGGGAGGCGGGAGGCGGGAAGCAGGAAGGGGGAGGCAGCGAAACGCGGGAAGCGGGAGGTCTAAAGCGGGATGCAGCAGGAAACATGAAGTGCACAATGGGAGGCTGGTTGCAGTCTCGAAGCATGCAGCGTATTCCGTAACCAACTACCGTAACCCACTACGCGCGCGGGAAGTTCTTATGCGTGTGCAAAAAACCTCTATTCTCTTTGCCTGGATACAATATATTGTTCTGTGTGTCCCGCTGGGTGCGTTATTACATGGTTATGGCGACGGACAGAGTGGCGGTGTTTGTGCAGGAATAGAAGAGGGGGGTCCCTCTTGAAAAGTAAGACAGTCCCCTTTGTTTTCGTGGCCCTCTCGCCCGACTAGTCATGCAGTCTTGCGACTAGCTGTGCAACGGGCTGCCGACGCGGAATTTCTGAATTCCATTTTGCGTGCACATTCTCGCGCCCAACCCTAATAAATGTTTTGGTTCGACCAATGGGAGGAAACTTTTGATGTTTTTGTTTCGTTTGGTGCGAAGTTGTGCGCCTCTCGTTTGGTGGCCTCCTCGTCCAAAAAGGGACTTCATTTTTTCCCAGAGAGGCTGCCATCAAAAGGGACCCCCCTCTGCAATTTTGCCGTGGGGTTTTAAGCTTAAGTTATAGATATGATAAATTGTTGAAATAAACTTCACAATTTAAAGATTGTTATTCGATTAGTAGAGGAGAGTGTTGTAAAGGAGTCAAGCTCTATTACATGGTGGCAGGCCACTCAGACCTACTATATAGTCTCATTCTCCTTCCAATCTCTTCTTTCTTCCACCCAACACACTCCCCTAAACCCAAATGCCTAGTAATAGGCCTAAAAGTTTCTTCTCAAGGAAGTTCTCCAATTTAGGATTTCCTCTATGGCAAGCGGAATGGTTTCCGCTGTTGATGGAAGGCCCCCTCCTTCTCGGATGACCACAAGGAGCAGTGGGCGTCGTGGTTCTCCTGTCCAGAACGATGACCAGGACTCTTCCTCTCATCGGAGCATTCCCGTTCCCCTCGTCAGGAGGCTCGTAATAATCCCCCTGTTAGCACGTTGGATTTGCTTAATGGCGCACGGCGTGTTCAAAACGTCAGAGTCAACATGGGCGTTTTCGACATGGCGGATCGTAACGGGCGTCGGGATGTCGTACCTCCCGAGGTGAATCAGGATGACAGGCATAACGCGGGAGTTCGCGATCGGCATGCGGCAGGCAAACACTCTCTAAGTAACACATTCACTAGAATGGAAGGTAGATGGTGATTTTGTACTAGTGTGTTGTAGCCTCTAAGAGAATGCACCTATCAGGCCTATTATAACATATGCAGATATGTTTGACACACCCCCTAGGTTAGATAAGGGGCAGTGCCTGGCAAGAGACATGCAGCTAAGGGTGGCACAACTAGTCCAACCTCTGAGGCAAGGGTCAGAAGACCAGTCAAAAGAACACAAACTAGACAAGAGCAAACCAGGGCGGCACTACTAGTCCGGCCACTGGAACAGAAGCCACAAGGCCAGTCAGGAGAATATATAAAAAGTAGTACACAATCAAGGTCCTAGCAAGTAAGAAGCTACTGGAACCAGACCAAGCTGTACACAGTGCCACTGATGATTTTTATGCGCAAGCGCCTTAGTAAAGATATCAGCTATGTTGGCACCGGAGGCCAAGTGTACTACGCGGTAGTACTGTAGCTTGCGCAAAAGGAAGTACCGCAGCTGGATGTGCTTCGCTCTGCCCTCCAGTCGAGGCTCATAATACAGGAGGATCATGGCCCTGTTTTCAGCGTACAGAACCGGGGCAGAGCTAGGCCGCTCACCTAAGTCTGTGAGCAAGAAGGTCAGCCCGCGGAGTTCCTGTGCCGCCATGGCACCCCCGTAGATCTCAGCCTCCCAGCTGGACTGGGCAACAGACGACGAGCGAATGGACCTCCACGAAATGGCACCCGCACCAAGGCAAAAGCAGTAGCCCTAGGAGGACCTGCGCATCTCAGCGTCGTCCGCCTACGGAGCGTTTGTGTGCCTAGTAAGGACCACTGGCCTGCATCCTCCTTGCACTAGCCCCATGCCCGATGTACTCGCTAGATAACGCAAAACTGTCTTAGCGGCCCACCAATGCTGCGGTCGGTGTCTGCTGTGGCCACAAAGCGAGCCAGGATGTTGAGAGGGTATGCGAGATCTGGACGAGTGCAAGTCCTCAAGTACATGAGGCAACCCACCAGCTCTGCGTAAGGACCACTGGGCTCTACTGATTCCTCAAGGACAAGAGCTGAGAGCCTGTGATCTACCGGCAGAGGTGTGGGTTGTGGAGAGGAGAACTTATGACCGAACCTAGGAAGGATCTGGCGCACCAAGTGTGGCTGCGTAAGAGTGATGGTGCGCGCTGCTCTGTCCCCAGATATCTGCAAGCCAAGGTAGTGGCGCAGCTCTCCTAGGTCAGTGCAGGTGTGTCTCCTTAGCAGCTCGGCCCTCACAAAGGCCAGTGCGTCCCTGTCTGCAGTGGCAAAGACCAGGTCATCTACGTAGACAAGGATGTAATGAACGAAGAGTGATGGGCCTGCAGCTGACGAGAAGAACTACAGGTCAGCTAACGTAGCATGAAGAGTGTCGTGCCACTCTCGACGCGCCTGCTGCAGGCTGTAAACTGGGCGCCGGAGGAGCCACTCGGTCCCCGGGGCGAAGCTGTCCGTAAAGCCTAGCGGGCGACGTAGGTAGACTTGCTTGTGAAGACTGCCCTCAAGAAACGATGTTGAGAAGTTGAGAGAGTGCTGCCCATAGTCACGCTGTGCTGCTACGTGTAGTAGCGCCCGAAGAGTGGTCATCTTTGGGGTCAGGGCGAAGGTCTGAAAGAAGTCAACTTTCTCGCGCTGACTGAAGCCTCTAGCAACGTAGCGCGCCTTGAACACCGGCGGCTCTCCAGGAGGGCGCTTCACCTTGAAGAGCCACCTCCCATCAACTACGTTTATCTCAGGTGGGGGAACTGCGTCGATGTAGGTGCTGGTGGATCTCCAACATGCCATCACCGCGTCCATGTCAGCTATCCACAGAGAGGCCCCGGGTCCCGAGGTCACCTCAGCGTAAGTGCGAGGGGTCGGGATGTCAAGGCCGTTTAGGTTACTCTCAAGGACCGGCAGCATGGAGCAGAAATGAGGCGCGACCTCGGACAGGAAAGCAAACTCGTACTGCCGGTCCTCTTGGACGTTACTGCAAAGGGCAGGAGCACCCCCAAAGAACAAAGGACAGGCAGGGTGAGAGACCAGAGCGGTGGCGTAGTCAAGGCGGCGGGTAGAGGTAAAGTCAGCAACAGCAGCGACAAGAGCGTCAAGACTGGAGACAGGAACAGACGGGTCGGTAACAAGAGAGGCGAGGACCCGACAAGAGGATTAGCGACATGGAGAAAGTCAGACAAGGGAGGCGGAGCGACAACCAGCGAGGATGGAGGAGGCAACGGGAGGAGGGGAGGACAAGATGCGTGGGAACGAAGCAACATAGGGTGAGAGCGCTAGACAGGAGAGACGGGATGAGAACGAGAGGGACGGCGAGACCAGAAGTGGGACGGAGGCATGGGGTTAGGAGACACACGAGGAGACACAGGAGGAGAACGTGGGGGAAAACGAGCCGGAGACGAGTCCGACGGAGGAAACACATGACCGTCGACAGGCGGGTGGGGAGGGAAGACCGAGGAGGTGAAGGGCAGATACCGACGGCGACTGCCGCTGCTGCTGTTGCTCCAGCTGCACCCCGGCTACCTTCGGGAGGCTCCATGACAGCACCCCTAGAACGAGAACCCTCTCCATCACCAGTGGCACCCAAGAACGCCGGGACAAGCCATGACGGTACCCCTAGGACTAGCACCCCCAAAACCAGCACCCCCAGAGAAAGAACCCTCTCCAGCACAAGTGCCACCCCAAAGATCGCCGGGACAAGCCACGACAGTACCCCAAGGACTAGTACCCTCCTCAACGCCCACACCCCCCAAGTTCGCGGACCCCTGCGGTGGCTGCAGCGGCGACGATGGTGACTTTGGCTGCGATGATTGCTGCTGCGATGGCGACGGCGGCTGCTGTGGCGGCGGCAGAGGAGGGGACACAGGGGCGGAGACAAGTGGCGACACCGAAGCCACAGGGCCCCCAGAGTCAGCAGACTCCTCGACCGTGACAACCGACGAGAGGGGAGTGACGTGAGACACACCAGACAGAGCAGGACGCGGAGGAAGAGGAGTAGGGGCTACCAGGGGGGTAGGGACCAAGAACAGGGGTAGGGAAATCGGGAGACCTAGTTGGGGAAAGCAGGTGTAGAAGGAGACAGACTCGACAAAACTGACGTCGGGGGAGTGAAAGAAACGTTGAGACGGCGGATGGTAAAAGTGCTAGTCAGACGTGTCGAGGGAGAAACCAAGGATGACACAAGAGACGGTGCAAGCAGTGAGCTTGTCCCTGCCAGGGGTATGAACATGAGCAAGGCAACCCCAGACGTGGAACGCAGACGCGTCACCTGGGAACCCGTTGCAGAGAAGGGTCGGCGGAACCTTCGGCCGCTGGGAGTGTGGCCACAGGTTAAGTTAGTGAGCGGCGTAGCGAACAGTGAATGGCCATAGAAAATGGGGTGCACCGGCATGGATCATTGAGGTATGAG